GAAGCAACTGCCATGTGATTGGTTGATTAGATAATTGCATTAATGAGAAATTGAACAGGTGTTCCTAATAATCCTTTAGGTGAGTGTAGATGAGGTGCTTTAATATTATAAGTATTCTTATGCTTAAACATTTATATTGAGATTTCCATTAAAATTTGTGAAAGTGTGCATGTTGTTAATCTTTGGGGGCAACACGTGGCTCAGCAGGCTGACCCCTGATTTACACTGGATGCGTATCCGCTGCGGTGTGAATGCGCTGCGTTCCCATTCCGTCCGAGGCCGTCCGCCAATTCACACTGGATGCGTTTGTGATCCGTATCTGATCCGGCGCGAGATCACATGACCACGGGAGAATAACATTTAACATAACATGTATCTATGTTTCTATGGATAAAATAATGTGTCACTCCCATATAGGTTACTGAACACTTTATTAGGAGTTTACAAGTACTTCACAGTAGGCCTACAGGTTACTTTCATTAAAAATCAAGTATATACATAGTTAGTTGGAAGATTCAACTTATCGTCAAATTCCAAAACTTCTGAAGTTTCACTCCACGCCTTCTCCTTTCTACTATTATCCTTGTAAAAAGGATGTCTGGGGTAGTACACAATTCCGTGTTTCTCCACCTCCAAAATTAATTTTTCCTTGTCCATGATGTGACGGAGAATTGGCGCATGCGCTCTGTGTTGCGTTCTTGATCCGTATCCGTCAAAAATAAACTTGATGCGCATCTCGACGGACTTCTGGACGCGTGATGGAACAGAGACGTAGCAGAGACGCAACGCAGCGGATCTGGTATAAACTGATGCATTGACTTTATTGGCGCCGATTGCCTGCGGCTGCCGTGTCGGAAACGCATCGCAGCGGATACGCATCCAGTGTAAATCAGGGGTGAGCCTCTGCATCTGTGATTGTAAGGTTGGCAGTTTGAGCCTGGCTTTGGCAGAATAGTCACATGTCTGAAGCCCCTTATCCCCCCAGTTCCATGGGTACCACTGCAGGTGGCTGCCCTTCACTGCCAAGCTTACTTACACTAACATACCTGTATGTGTCTGTGTGTCATGGACAGCAAGATGGGGTAGGCAAAAAGAGAATTTCCCCAATAGGATCAACAAAATGTCATAATATAACAAGCAATGCTTACAGCATGTTCTTAAGAACAAGGCATACAATAATCAGGCTTCCAAAATATGCAAAGAAAGATGGTCAGGGGGATAATAATAATAATAATAATAATAATAATAGATTTAATTTATAACGCACTTTACATTTAAAATAAATCTCAAAGTGCCACAAAATGAGTCATCCTAAAAAAGTGAAAAAAAACACACATTAAAACAACAATTAAAACAAGCAAGTCAATCAATAAAGAAACCTACAAAATTAATTCAAATCCATAAGTTCTATTAAAAAGAAATGTCTTAAGTCCTTTTTTAAAATTTTCAATAGTCTGTGGGGCCCTCAAATGGTCTGGGAGGGTGTTCCATAGACATGGGGTGGCAGAACCGAAGGCCCGATCACCCATGGTGCTAAGTTTGGTCCTGGGAAGTAGGAGACGATTTGCATTTGTAGATCGTCGAGACCGTGTTAAGGTTAGGGGGGTAAGTAGTTCTTTTAAGTAAAGGGGGGCATTTCCATGGATGCATTGGTGAGTGATAAGGGAAACCTTGTATTCAATCCTTGCAGAAACGGGAAGCCAGTGCAGTGATTGAAGAATGGGTGTAATGTGTTCATATTTTTTAACTCTCATCAGAATCCTTGCTGCACTGTTCTGTATGTATTAGAGTCTTTGAAGATGTTTATTGGGCATTCCAATGAGAAGTGCATTGCAGTAGTCGATTCTGGAGGAGATAAAGGCATGAACCAGTTTTTCAGCATCTGGCAAGGTGAGAGTAGGACAAAGTTTTGTACCTGTTGTGAGGTGGTGGAATGAAGTCTTGCAGAGATGTTTAATATGAGTTTCAAAAGTGAGTTGAGGATCAAGTCTAACACCAAGGTTGATGACTGACGAGGCAAGGGAAATGTCATGACCGGAGACCGTAATACTCGGTATGGAGGCTGACTGAAGCTGATGTGGGGTACCAACCACGATTGCTTCAGTTTTAGAGCAGTTTAACTGGAGAAAGTTTTGTTTCATCCACACACTGATCTCCTCAAGACAGATGCTGAGTTTCGATGAAGATGATGCTGCAGAGGAGTATTTCTCAGTTTTCATGTAAAGCTGTGTGTCATCAGCATAACAGTGAAATGAAATTCCATAGCGGCTAATGATTTGGCCAAGAGGGAGCATGTATAAAGTAAAAAGGATGGGGCTGAGAACTGACCCCTGCGAGACTCCACAGGTCACAGTGTGCGTCCGGGACCTTGCTTTTCCAAGGGAAATATACTCTGTCCTGTCTGTAAGATAAGATTGAAACCAAGACCAGGCAGTGTCAGTTAGTTCAATGGTGTGATGTAACCAATTGAGGAGTATATCATGGTCAATGGTGTCGAATGCAGCAGATAAATCAAGAAGAACGAGTAGAGAAGGTGAGCCAGCATCAGCCGTCATCAGCAAGTCATTTGTGACTCTAATCAAAGCTGTTTCTGTGCTATGGGCAGAGCGAAAACCAGACTGAAATTTTTCAAAGAGGTTGTTGTATTTGAGGTGATCCTGAATATAGATGGCAACTACTTTCTCCAGGACTTTAGTGAGGAATGGAAGGTTGGAAATAGGCCTATAGTTGGCAAAAACTTCTGGATCAATAGTGGGTTTTTTGTGAAGTGGTCGGATTATAGCGGTTTTTAAAGCAGATGGAATGTAGCCAGCCTGGAGGGATTGGTTAATGATTGTGGTGATCAAAGGAGTGATGGTAGAGATGTTTGCTTTCACCAAGGCTGTAGGAAAGGGATCCAGAGCACAGGTGGAGGGCTTCATCTTCCTAATAATTTCTTCAACCTCTTGATGAGAAACTTCTAGGAAGCAGTCGAGAGGCTGAGCAATCACAGGCCATGGATTGATGGTCAGAACAGATAGATCTGGTGGATCTTGGAAAGCCGAGCGAATTGAGTTAATTTTTGCTTTGAAGAAGGTCATAAAATCATTACAGCGCTCTTCTGTATTTTCAACAGGTATAGGAGTTTGTGGTTGGAGAAGTTGATTTACAGTGGAGAATAGCTGCTTAGAGTTTCCATGGCTGTTTTTAATGACATTTGAATAAAACTGAGACCGTGCCTCTCTAAGGGACTTTGAGTATGCCTTTTGATAGGGAACATGTTCCCCCCAGTCATATAGAGACCCTGATCTGCCCCCCCAACCCCCGCTTTTCCAGATGTTCTCTGGTGCAGTAGATGTTGTTACCCCCAGCCTTCCCAACCTTCTTCTCCATACTTATGTGTGATACCACCCTTTTTATAGGGTTTAGGACAATAAACCATGTTTGATCACAGCCAGGCAGGAGTCATAAGCAAAAAGGTCAGGAACCAGACAATGGTGATGAACGACTTGGTCCCTTGATCCTCCTACCTTGTGGCAGCTGGACTTTTCTGTCTTTGTTAGGTGATTTGCATAGGATAGCAGCTTGCCTTTTGGTCTCAGGGCCAGGCGCTTTCCTGATTACCATTACTATCATTGGATTGATTACAAGCGGCCACAAAAGCTGGGATTTCTGTGTCAAGAGAGTGATAATATAACCAGTAAGAAATAATATAATATAATAAAATACTACAACTTCCATGATGACCCAACCATGTTAATGATGCATAAATAACTGAAACACAAATGTCACTTGCATGCAGGTGGATGCAGACATTCCACCTTAGGGATATTGATTCCAGGGAGGCAGATGAGGGGCATCCAGGAGGGCGGGGGTGCTGGCCAATGCTTGGCAGGTATTACTGTAATACCATATATAATGGGATGGGTACAGGTCGGGCGGGG